CCTGGACCCTCCCCGCCAGCGCCGCCGCTCCTCGGAGCTCCTCCCTTCTCCCGCTCCCAGCCGCCGCCGCCATCCTCGTCGGTGGGTCCCGGCTCATCCCACTCGGCGTTCAGCGTCGCCTCCGCTGCTCCGCGCCGTCGCCCTTTCCTCGCCTCTCTTCTTTCCGCCTCCGAGGCCGCCCCTTCGTTCTCCGCTCGCTGACGGCGCCGAGGCTCGCGCTCCCTCCCCTCCTTCCTTCCTTCCTTCCTTCCTTCCTGCAGCCCCTCCCACCATCTCTGACTGGTTATCCCAATGCCCAGTTTGCAGGGGTATACCTATGCAGAAATGAATAAAATAAATCAAGTTTCACATGTGTACTATTTTAAACAACCCTGTAGCAGAACAGTAGTTTAGCTTACGTTCCAACTATAAAACATGCTTCCCTGGCAAAGTAATCCGGACTTGCATTTTGTGTAATGGCGATACTCTTTTCAATGTCGATTCATTTGAATGTAAATGTGTTTCGAAAACCAGTTCCTTTACCAGTGTAATTACGATCTCGGATGGGCATGAGATTTCTCCTCAAGTTGTTAAGGAATTTGTCCCACTGTCTGGAAGCATATCACAGGAAAGGTTTCTGCATGTGTCTAAGGGAAATTCAAGTGCTGCAAGAATCCAGAGTGAATCAAACAAGGCCAGCAACCAGGGCTGGGCCCTGCCGTTGAGCACAATGAGGGGTCTGCTTAGGCCAGTGGTTCTTAACCTTGTTGTTTTTGAACTGCAACTCCCAGAAATCCCAGCCAGCACAGCTAGTGGTAAATGCTTCTGGGAGTTGCAGTCCAAAAACGCGAGTGTTGGCCCTTCTTGCGAACTCCTTCGCCATCGTTTCCTCTCGGCCGCTGCCACACCCCTGGCCCTGGGCGAGGGATTTTGAGCGCCGCTTGGGAAGGGACCGGAACGACGCCTGCTTCCTCGGCTTGACTTCGTGCTGGGGCTCAGAACCCCTCCTCCTCCCCGAGGGCCAAGTAGCTCTCTGGCCTCCAGGCCACAAACAGACAGAAAACCCCAACAAAAAGTTGGCTCTCTTCAGCCTCTCTTCTCGCCCTCGAAGCCCTTCTGGGCGAGGGATTTTGAGCGCCGCTTGGGAAGGGACCGGAACGACGCCTGCTTCCTCGGCTTGACTTCGTGCTGGGGCTCAGAACCCCTCCTCCTCCCCGAGGGCCAAGTAGCTCTCTGGCCTCCAGGCCACAAACAGACAGAAAACCCCAACAAAAAGTTGGCTCTCTTCAGCCTCTCTTCTCGCCCTCGAAGCCCTTTTGGCGCTCATGGCCATCCCCCCCCCCCGCCGCCCCGTTTAACAATCCCTTTGAAATATGTTACCATCTTATTCGGTTTGTTCTCCAGATATTTTTTGGCCTCTCGGTTTTTAATTTCTCCTTTCTGGGGGGAAATGTATCCGGAGTTCACAGTCTAAGACCCACCACCTCCCAAAATCGTCTCATTTCTCCCCAAATCCTCTCAGTTCCTGTTTCCTCAGGCAGTCTGGATTGGGAGGGGGAAGGTCGACCCAGCACCACCAGCTCCAGTTTCTGTTCTGGGCCACTCACTGATGGTAGTGGTAGGGAAAAAATAGCCTAAACTAAAAAAACAACAACCAGAAAAACCCCCCATCATGTTCCCTCCACACAACTGCAAATTCCCACTTTTTAACTTTTACTGTATGTGGTTCTGTCTTCCCTTACCCAGCACTAAACTGCTCCTCTTTATGGGCCTGAGCATTTCAATGCCTTTAGCTTCATAGCAGTACCTTTCAGAAGACGTTATTCTGTTACACACACTCTACCCCTTTTTTAAAAAAAGTTCATCATGTTAGAAGTTAGGGGAAGTAAAAACCAAACCAGAATGTAGACTTCTGTCATACTTCAGGGTAATTCTCAGTGAAAACAGTTGTATGAATAACGTTTTCAAATGTTATACAATATGTCAAATTAGGTATGTTCTTTAAGTTGAATAATTTTCATGTATGGAAATATCTGTCTCCTATCAACCACAACAAGCATCTATTTACATTTGAGCAGCCATCCTTAAGGAGGGGAAAAATCTGAGGGTGAAGGTGCTTAGCATCTCAAAGAAAAATAATAATAATGTTTGGGCTTTAAGATATTTCTGCTGTGGTAATAGGATATCTTATGAGGGGAAGGCACTGCTTTTGGTTGCAAAAGGGAGGGGCGAGACACATGACGGGCTGGTCAGAGAGGATACACACAAATAATGGGTTGTTTCATCTTCAAGTCCAGTGGCAGATTTCTCAGGCCCAAACCAATGTGACTGCTACTGTGCTTCCCCCAAAATAAGACAGGGTCTTATATTAATTTTTGCGCCAGAAAACACAGTAGGGCTTATTTTCAGGGAATTTTTTTCATGTACAACAATCTACATTTATTCAAATACAGTCATGTCATCTTCTGGTTGCTACACAATGGTGGCGGGTGGGTTTTCACTTTAATAAACTAGGGCTTATTTTTGGGGTAGGGCTTATATTACAAGCATCCTGAAAATAATACTAGGGCCTATTTTCAGGTTAGGTCTTATTTTTTGGGAAACAGGGTACTTGTAAAATAGTTTTTTAAAAAATTGTTTTGTTCAGTAATGTCCACACTTTTTAATGATGCCATTAATACATGTAAGTTGGAGTATTTCATGGGGCAGATGATTAATCTTCTAGCATCACAGCACTTTTATCTCCTGCCTTTTAGAGCAGAAAGCAAATTTCAGATGTCTTAAATAAGTGTTTACAGCATTTCATAGTCCAAAATATTTTGCTCTTGGGTATTCCTTCCAGATATGTGTATAGGCATCGTTCAGTCTTCAGAGACTATGGGAATGTGCTCTGAATAGAGAGGTCTTGGAACAGCATCTACTGTCATGTGCAGAGCAATTTGTATGTTTAATAACAATAATCTTGTGCTGTCATGTGCAGAGCAATTATTTGTATGTTTAATAACAATAATCTTGTGCCATCAAGTAAGTTCTGACTTATGGTGACTCTTCCCAGGGTTTTCTAAGCAGAGAATTACATAGAAGTACGTTATAATTTCCTTTCTCTGGGGATGCTCTGGAAGCATTTGTGCAGCTTTGCCAAGGCCACACAGACTGCCTCTTTCAGAAGGGACAGTGGGGGATGGAACCTCCAGCTTCTGACTCTGCAACCACGTATCTAACCGACTTTCAGTATGATTTACTCCCAAGTACATGTGCTTTTAGGATTGCATTTATAGGTTAGTTGCTACAATTAAAAATCCCTATACCTGTTCTTTCTCTGTCTCCGTCTCTCCTTCTCCCTCCCGTGTGAACAGGATATTAGTTTTGACATGTGCCTTTTACTTTATTGTAAACGTTGATGAACAAAGTTTCTTTAGAATTGTAGGATAGCTCCCTGTGTTAGTGATCTGGATTGCAAGATTTCTTAATCTTTTTCAGATTTACAGTTTCTATTCAGGTTAGTATGGATAAAGACCCAAAAGAGCCCCACTGTTTTTAATAAGGTGCATGAACTGAGTGTAAATTTGATGCTGAAATCTCAGTTCAGTCTTGCATTTTCTTCTCTTTAAACAAAGGAATAACATGTAGTCTACTCACATGCCATGTAACGTTTTTAAGAAGCAAAAGATAAGAAATGCCGGATAGCTATTGCTACTTGAGGGATTTATGTGCTGGGGCTGTGCATATAGCATTCAAAGGGGATTGTATTTCATTGCAAATTTTTTACTGCAAGTTATACATGGGATATATTCTGTATGAAGAATGGTATTGTTTCTGCTGATCTAGAGTGAATCTAAATTTGATTCTAGGTCTAAGTTGGTGGCTTTTTGTGTGCAAAGATCTATATTTTGCTGTTTTCAAAAGACATTTGTTGTCTTGTCTCCAGATTACCACACTTTGTCATTCAGATGAGAGCTGTGATGAGAGTTCATTGTTTTTAGTGTTTGAGTTTGGGAGTGCTAATTTGGTATAATGAGCATCCATACATAGCTTGGGACTGCTGAGAAGGACATGCTTTGCACTAAACAGTGTAAAAAGAATGAAGTTGACATTTAGTTTGATCATGATGACTGTTTGACTTATACAAGTCATTATTTAGGTTGAATAGTAGTGTCAGTACCTACTATGCTGTTAGTAATGTCATGAGGATATCCTGTTCAGTATGCACATTTCACATAAGTTGTGATCATGAGCACTCTTCACTGGGAGTCAAAGTGGAATACTGTATATGTAAACATATTAAATATACCATGGCTGGCAAGGCACAGGGCCAGTTTGACCATCATGAATGTGGATCATAGAATAATGGAGTTGGAAGAGGCTTCTAAGGAGATTGAGTCCACCTTCCTGCTCAGCGCAGGAATCCAAACCAAAGTAAATCTGAAACATGGCTGTCTAACTTTCCCTTGAATGCCTCTAGTGAGAGTATTCTATTATAATGAATAAAGTGCCTTCAGAGAGTTTATCAGGAAATTGTGCTGTGAATCTCTTATCAAAAGCAAAGCAAAACCTGAGTATAGCCAGGCTTCTTAGAGCACCTCAAAAACAACATAGACTACTACAGTAAAACCAACCACTAATTTGATAAAGCACACTGTCAGTTAAATAAACAGATGAACAGCGTATCCTACCTAAGATTTCTGGTGTCTCAGTACATGGCAGTTGCCTGTCTAAAGAATTAAGAGGTAAATATATTTCATTCTCATTAAAATCTTGGTGAATTTCTTTAGGAGACGGGTTCTACAACAGGGATATGTATTGATGTGACAGTATTCTTTGATCATAATTAGATAACAGAAGGTTTGTGTTGAGTCTACCTGCAGAAGCAGTGTACGGTTCTTTGAAAAGTGGGAAGAAGGTGGGAGGAGGAACCTATCCAGTGGAAGATCAGTAATAATCAGTGGTCAGTATAGTTAGACATGATACTTCACACACCAAAAAACTGTGAAGTTTTCATCTGTGGGGCAGTTGTTGCTGTTTGCACAAAGTAGTTTTACTGACAATAATATTCTGTTTCCAGGATTCAGATTGTTTTATATTTTATCATAATTTGTTATTATTCTTATTGAAAGAACATAAACTATGAACTGAGTGGAGAGCTGTAATTGCATGTCCTTCATATATGAATGTTCAGTTTTAATGCTTTACTATCAGGTGAGCTTGGCTTTCACCAAATAATTCCTTTTTTAAAAAAATAGTGTGATTGCAGGAGGGATTTTAGTGTATTTTCTTTCATATCAAAACTTTTCACATACAGTATGCTGTTAACTTACATAGGGTAGAGCACTGTTGAAGTTCCTGCCATCCTCAAGCATGGCCTGAAAGTGTTATTGGGGAAAATGTCACTGCATCTGGTGGAACTGTGAAGAAGAAATCTTAGCTTCCATTTTCCCCCTCTACATTATGCAGAATTTTGGCTGCATTGTAAAGTACACATTCATTAGTAAACACATGCAGTTAATGCTTTTTATTTATTACAGCAAGGCCATATTTAGTCTCACTCTTGATCAACAAAAAACTTTTATATCTAGAAGAGCATTGGGCACACTCATGAGTATCAAAATATAGATATTGTACAGTGGAACATTTGGGTTTGAAAAACATTCTTTTCAAAAACATTCTTTTTTCAAAAACATTCTTTTCTGTGGTGTGTAAATTTTCCTGCTGTTTTGTGATAGTCCAAAGAGGAAGCTATAGAATTGCTAAAATGTATCAACTTTAAACCATGTACAGTACTTCAAAGTAGTCACCTTGACTTCAGAGCAGGGAGTTGAGGATTGCGACCTTAGCTTATTGCTAAAAATAAGATCAATCAGTTTTTTAACCAGGCTAGACATTTCTTCCCTCCCCCCCCCACCCTTTGTAATGTACGTATAATACAAGGGAAATTTGTTTCTGAATGTTTCAGAACCATTACACCTGGGCAAAAGTTTTGCTGTTCGTATTTCAAAGAAGAGTTGGGAGTTCATTTCTCAACATTTTTTCGTGCACTTTTTGCATCCTTTCCTTTGGGGCTGTGGGTTTTGTGAGCTCTTTTAATTTAGATTACCTCTTGGGAGTGAGTTAACAGCTTTTAAAAGCTTTTAAATTATTTTAAAAATAATTGGCGTAGGAGTTTCTACTGTACCCAGATGCTTCTGTCTCTGAGGACCCAAGATTTTTATCATTGGAATGAGAAAGTTGAATTCTCCATAGCAGTCAAAATGTAAAGCAAATTAAAAATCTACTGAGGAAATGAGCTTGAGAAGTACATGCACTGCAATATCCACTTTCACGTGGGCGATACAATAATAGTTTTTCACCAAAGTAATATTTTGATTAGCTAGGAAGGTACCCAGTTAATGGGTCACCAGATTATAAAATGTGTACATAGTATCTCATATATATGAGTTTCCTTTTAAAATTGGTCTTTTATTCAAAATAGTCTAATTAGTCTAATTAACATTTTAATTTGTTTTAAATTTTACTTATCTTTCATATATGTCCATAATTTTCGATTGTGCAGCACTTTGATATGAATAAAGAAGCTGTTTTCCTGGAATAATAAGTGAAGACATCCTAAAAAATGGAGATGCGAGTGACAGAACATTTTTCTGTGTAGGAGCTCTAAACATTGTGGCTTGTCTTGAAAGTTTAGGTCAGGGAACACAGTAGATGTTGGGACCTGTGCTTTCTTGATGCATTTATTACAGATGTTGTATCTGTCAAATTAAAATAAAAATCAAAGTTAGGATTTGTAAAAAAAATATCTATATGTATGTCAAAGAGATAACTGTGTCCGTTTATTTCCACATGTATAACAAGATAAAGCAGTGCGGCACCTTAGATACTAATCTTTTTTCCTGTGTGAGCTTTTCTGGATTAAAGTCCACCTTGACAAACTCAGCTGCGCATTGTAGTGCATGAAAGCTGAGCATTGTAGTGCACTGAGATAAACTTGAAATGAGTCCTGGAGGCGCTACAACTCTTCCACTTTTATTTTTGTTATGCTAAATGTTTATATAGCAGACTGAATAGCTCAGGGGTTTAGGTATCCGGCTGGGCACCCAGAGGTTGGGAGTTCAGTACCCCACTGTGCCTCCTGCAATTAGATCAAACCTTTGTGGCCTTGGGCAACCTGCAGAGTCTCAGGGCATCCACAGAAAAGGGGAATGGTTAAGCACCTCTGAGTGTTTTGTAGCTAGAAAATGCTTTAAAGGGTCACCATAAGTCAGAATTGACTTGACAGCACATGATGACGATGATGATTACTTATTTATATAACCTCTTCTCATTTTAAGAAATGGAAAGTTTCTTTGGGAATTGCAGCTCAACCAGTTGTATGTTTGAATGTGTTAGAATAAGAAGAGGCAAGGAAACATGTTAACATGTGCTGTTGCTCCTGATGTTGAGGTTATGAAATTTACTGTTGTTTATGAAATCATAGGAATTCCCTCTCCCTATCAAAATGACGGAGAAGCTGTTTCTCTGCTAACACTTCACTTGCACCAGTTTGGAAATTAGGAGTTTGAGGCCCCTTCCGGATCACATGTTCTCTAAGCGACAAAAACACTATATGTACAGGAAGTACAACAGGAAGCCTTTCATAGAAAACTTCTTGGTAGTGTGGTGTTTTAGCAAAACAGACAAGTACTGATGCTGTACTGTAGAACCATTCTTGCTGCTCGTCTTTGTAGACTAGGAATGATAAAAAGGGGGCTCAGTAGAGGACTTATTTGTTTTGTTTGTTTGTTTGTATGTATGTATGTATGTATGTATGTATGTATGTATGTATGTATGTATGTATGTATGTATGTATGTACAGTATGTACAGTATGTACAGTATGTATGTATGTATATTCACCTAAGGACGTATTTGTTTCGTATGTATGTTTATTCACCTATATTTATGCTTTGCGCTGTCAAGTCAAAACCAACTTACAGAGACCCTAATAGAGCTTTTAAGGTAATTTAAAGATATTTAAGGAGTGATTTTACAAGTTCAATACACCTAGTGAATTTCCATGGCCAAGTGGGGATTTCCTGAGCTACTCCATCAGTCTTTCCACTAAACCCCACTGGGTATCGATCTGTATATGTATCGTTATATGTGTATATATATATGTACTTAATGTATGGTGGGTTGGGTTGCTGTTACTGCCACTTGTAAATTGTTCTGTTAAACACCCTAAGAGCAAAGGCTGCTACTTGAACATTTTACTCTATTGACCTTTTAAAAAGTATTAAGCAAAAAAAAAATTTATTGACTTCTGGGGCATAAAGTCTACTTTTGCCTGGTTGACACCTTAGAAGCCTAGCGGTTGGTCTCAGTAGGAATAATTCCTTGGGTGTAGGAGAAGAGTAAAATGATTATGAGGTGGAGAGTCATAGGACTGTTGGTTGTACACTTTTCTGTGGATAAAAATATTAATAATGATTATTAATTTCAAAGTAGAGAAGCCTGTGATTGACAAATATCTTGAGGAATCAGTAAAAATGCAATTAATGGTTCAAAGTGATCATTGCTCTTAACAGGCTTGAATACGTGGTTGTTATGGAGTACCTGTCAGTTACATTTTCTCCTGCAGTGACATGATGGCTTTTGATAGATTGCAATAGGTGAATGCTCTTTTTGAAGGTTAGCGTCAAGAACTAAACTCATATGTAGGTATTTCACAGCTTGCCTTTGGGACCTAAGGCTTTTTTCCAGCCATTATGCACCATGTTGCTTGAAATGTATGGCATCTTATCAGTTTGGGAAGTGAGGTACTATGCTAACTGATCTAAAAGAAACAAGAGAGATAACTCATTTTGGTTGGACTTATAGGGAAGTTACTTTTCCCTATTCTGCTATCAGCACTATGTTATGAGAGCAAGAAGCCCTGCTTTTGTCTCTTAGCAGCATATACTGGTGTAGTTCTGAGGATGACCTTCTAGAAAAGAGGTCTAGCCTTGTTTATTTTTTTAAGGAGGTAGCCGTGTTCATCTGTGCAAGCGTAACAGGCAGAATCCAAAGAAACTAAACAAAGACAAAGAACATGTGGCAATTTAAAGACTAGCTATTACATTTTAATGTTATACTGTATTAAATATAAGATTAGAATTACTGCCTCCTGGGCCCAATTCAGAAGACAATTCATAAAGGAAGGAAATAAACATTAAACATTAAGCAGGACTCACATGAGAGCCAGTTTCCTAATGTATAGAAACGGCCCAGAATTTTAGAAAAAAAAGTTACATTTTCCTGGCTTATGTATTCTGGGAGTCCAAAAAGTAATAATTTTGTATCTTGGAAGAGCTACTCAGTTGCTTGAATGCTGTGGTAGTTGTAACACTGTGCGGTAGATTTCACAGGAAGAATTTAGAATTGCACAAAAAAAGCAGTGGAACCCTTTATGGTACCAAACCTGTGAACTATTGTGAAAATAAACTGTATCTCTTACTCTGAGGAATCACTTGAAAACAGTGATGTCTGCTCTTTGGAACACCTTTTCTTGAAGATTTGTACCAACTGAATGTCATTCCAGTAATTTAGCAATCTCCAGTTCTAGCTATGAATTAGGACGTTTTTCAAGCAGTTGACATGACTAATGTTCAAGTTGCTATTGGAACCAGTGGGCTACAGATGCCTGTCCTTAATCTGTGGGGAATATTTGTTCTTTTAATTAATGGAAAGCTCTCCTATATAGTTCCCATGCTTTAACTG